AAAACAGGCATCAAACTTGACTCAGATATAACACAGCTTTTGTAATTATCAGACAGGGAAATAGAAATTACTATGAAGTATATGATAAAAATTCTAATGTAAAAATGTAAACAGCAAGCAGGACAGATGGCTAAAGTAAGCAGGCAGATGAAAACACCAAAAAATAATCAAAAGAAAACACTAGAAATAAAGAATACTATCACAGAAAATTTAAAAATATTTCCAATGGGCTCATTGGTAGACTTGAAATAGCCATGGGAAAGTCAGTGAGTTTGAAGATGTCAATAGACACTTCTCACACTGACATTCATAGAGAAAAGATGAGAAAAGTAGAACAGAATATTCAATAACTGTGGAACAACTTCTCAAGGTACACATAATACACAAAATTGGAATACCAGAAGGTGAAGAAAGAGAGAAACAAGAAGGAATGTTTGAAATAATAATGTCAGAGAATAGTCCAAAACAGATAGAAGAACCCAAACCACAGATTCAGAACCCAAACCACAGATTCAGAAACTTCAAACAAAACAAATACTCAAAAAATCTATACCAAAGAATATCATATTCAAACTGCAGAAAACAAATGACAAAAGAAAGCCTTGAAACAGAACAGATTATAAAATCATCTAAAAAAATTACTTTACATAGGAAAACAGATAAGAATTGGAATGGACACAGAAAGACAAGAACTACATGATCTCACTTATATGTGGAATCTAAAAAGTTGAGCTCATGGGAACAAAGAGTAGATGGATGGATGATTACTGGGGGTAGAAGAATGGAGTAAATGGGGAAATTTGGTCAGAGGGACAAACTTCCAGTTGTAAAATGAATAAATTATGGAGTCCTAATGCCCATCATGATGACTATAGTTAAAAATTGTATCTTGTATACTTGAAATTTGCTAAGAAAGTAGACCCTAAGTATTCTCACACATACAAAAACGGTAACTCTGTGAAGTGATTGACACGTTAACTAGCTTGATTGTGGTAATCATTTCACAATGTATACATATCTCAAAATATCCCACTGTACACCTTAAATATATACAATTTTTATTTGTTAGTTATGACTCAATGAACCTCAGGAAAAAAGAACTAAGCAATTAAACTTTGTCTTCCTAAGTAAATACATTAGAATGTTTAATCAATAATATATAAGCATATGAGTATTAAGAAACTCCTGTGAATAATATGCAGAACATAATTTATTTATTTATTTATTTATTTATTTATTTATTTTGAGACGGAGTCTCGCTCTGTCGCCCAGGCTGGAGTGCAGTGGCCGAATCTCAGCTCACTGCAAGCTCCGCCTCCCGGGTTCACGCCATTCTCCTGCCTCAGCCTCCCGAGTAGCTGGGACTACAGGCACCCGCCACTTCGCCCGGCTAGTTTTTTGTATTTTTTAGTAGAGACGGGGTTTCACCGTGTTAGCCAGGATGGTCTCGATTTCCTGACCTCATGATCCGCCCGTCTCGGCCTCCCAAAGTGCTGGGATTACAGGCTTGAGCCACTGCGCCCGGCCAGAACATAATTTATATGTTAAGTTCACCAATATGAAAACAACCACATGTGATATTAGATGTCAAATAACAATTTGGCTCCTCAAAGTCCCATCATTTTCTGGATCTTTATCTTTTACCTAAGGAGATTTTCAATGTCACACTGATACCTGTCCTACTCTTTTAAAGAGTAAACAAATTCATTATTTTTCTCTTTGTAGGAGAGATTTGTGATCTTCCTTAGATGATGTGTGAGACAGTAAGTGAAATGAGGAGCACTCACTTAAATGTTCTTGAGCATTTCTCCCTTCTGGGCTCCAGTATCTGAGAGTTGATAATGAGTTTCTTCTGATATCATAAGAATGAAGGCATACAAATATCTTAAAGTACACTATGAAATTTGTAAGTATTTCTAGTGAGACTGTGGGAGAAAGCCAATAATCGTTACTGGCAATGAAGGGAATACTAAAAAACAAACAAACAAACAAACAAACAAAAACCCTTAACGATTTGTTAACAATCTCAATTCTCAATATGCTACCTCACTTGGGCTTGTACTCTTTTTATGGCAAAACTTTTTATGTTTCCTTTGAATACTAAAATTACTTAATTTTTACCTCGTTTTTGTAATAAGTCTTAATTAAATTATTTCTATACTTATTCAAGTTATGATTAGTTACTTAAAGAAAAATGGCTATCTTGATTCATCTTTCAGTGGCTATTTCACTTCAAACTATGAACAGCTTTTTCATATTAGCATTAAACATTTTCAATAACAAAGGAGATTATCTTCGTTAATCATATAATTTATTCCTCTTTGCACTGAAATACTCAATTTCTATGTCTTTGGTTGTATCTGCTTTCATATTCTCTTTCACAAAAATGAGCTGTTCTTCCTATTTTCTCATTTATTCTCCCGTTTATTTTATATGTTATTCTCTGCATAAAATCTGATCTCCAAAAGCCATCCACACATATATAATGTCCATGACATTTGATGTAGACTAAACCCATAGTACTTATATTCATTGACCTTTGTATTATATTGACTGTATATTTACCTTAGCTCTGCTTCAACAATGGATATGAAGTGAGAAAATCTCTCTCTGAGCTGTTATTATCCTACAAATTTATTGCCCTGAACACTGAAACGTTAAATATATTCTTTTTTTTTTTTTTTTTTTTTTTTTTTTTTTGAGACGGAGTCTCGCGCTGTGTCACCCAGGCTGGAGTGCAGTGGCGTGATCTCGGCTCACTGCAAGCTCCGCCTCCCAGGTTCACGCCATTCTCCTGCCTCAGCCTCCGAGTAGCTGGGACTACAGGCGCCCGCCACCACGCCCGGCTAGTTTTTTGTATTTTTAGTAGAGACGGGGTTTCACCATGTTAGCCAGGATGGTAAATACATTCTTGAACAAGAATGTATTTAACTCAAGCTAATCAATTCTCTTTCTTGTATGACAAATAACTGGGAAAATACAGTTATTATCAATGATGTATTTTTGACCAATAATGTCTAAATATTTTCAATTAAGTTTTACAACTCTTAACTTTATCTTTTTCTTTAAAATGAGCATAATGAAATCACTAATAACAATTTGATCTCTAACAAATTGTGTGCATATGTTTATAGTTATAACACATACAAAATATATATTTAATTTCTCACCTCTTGTTTTTAACTGTATTTCACCCTGCAGTAACATTCACTAGTGCGACACACATGCACACAATTTTAGATGTTAAGAGAAAATATTAATAAATTATCTAGTTCATTCTCTTTATACCTTTTAAAGAAGGCTTCTAAAATACAGCCAGATTTGAGGTACTTTAATCAGTATCTTTTTATTTAATAGATATACATATTTATTTTCATCTAATATTTTAATTCAATCTAGACAGGTAGAAGATTACTTGCAATTATTCTACATAACCATACATTTATTTCTTCTTTTAGTAACGTTTACTCAGTAAGTGAAATAGTAGGTGACGGTGATGAACAATACCATTAATAAAGATGAAATTACTACTGAGTCAAGAATAATTTTTGAAATTTTCATTTTTAATAACTTTTGCAGATATTGCACATATTTATAGTTAGGTCATTGTTTAAAGAAAAAGGACCAAAAAACTATAGTAAGTGTTCAAAATAAGTGTAAATGGCAAGGTAGGGAATGCTGGTTGCTATGGCAACTAAGAAACACATTTAAAGCAAGATTACCCTGGGTAAAAATTATAGAAAAGGTAATACATTTTTATTGTACTGAAGTGAAAATCACAACTCAATAAAGACCAATGTCTGTATCAACTCAGATTGTAAAATTCAGTTATAGTGCCTACATCCAGAAGTGAAGATACTTCTTTGATAATTGTTTTCTTATTATTTTTTCCTAGAGAGCCACTTCTCTTTGATGTCTGATAGCATTCAACTTAAACTATATACAATTGTTTATAAGGCAGGGTTTAAAGGACTCTTTTTAGATTTGTGACATAGAAATTTTAATAAGGCTGATTCACACACACACATATATGTGTGAGTCAACTAAACTCTCTATACTTTGATTTTATTACCTCTTAAATGAATATAATTTTGTATTGACCTCTTCACAATATCCAAAGAGAAGAGGAAAGACTAGGAAAAATTTTTTTGCTATGGCATCAATATGCAATAGGCGAATTTCTATATTCATTCTTATAACTCAGAAAAAATTTTTAATACTGATTGCAATCAGAGAAAGGTTTCCATCTAAAAACTTTGAAAAGCTAAAATAGAGAGCACTTTATTTTTAATCTATTATTTAAAAAAATCTATACAAAGGCACTTTTTCCTGCATTAACAAACAAATGGAGCCAGTTGTGCTTTAAGTGCAGTAAATATAATGTGAAATTTCTCACAGAGTACGTACAGTCAGGTGCTACTGAGGATTGAGAACTGCATAATTGTTGGGATTATACATTCACTCACAAACTCTGTAATATCATTTGTATAAAGTTCTGCTAAGTAAATCATTGGCCATGGTTAAAATGAATAGACTCCTTAACATAGTCTAAGTGAGGTGCTGATAGCTCAGTCACATGAAACAACACCGAATTTAGGCTCGTCATGAATGAAGTTCAAATCGGAATTATGCCACTTATTATCTTTTTGACTCTACCAACTCAATTAACTTTATGTGTTTTACTTAACTCATGCTTGAATTGGAAATAAAAACAGTTTCAGTGTTTCATTAAGGTTCTGTGGTAAGATTAAAACATGTGATGCTGTGTTAATATATAACAATATGTACAATAGAGTGGCTCAATCCTATAATCCCAGCCTTTTGGGAGGCTGAGGCAGACAGATCACCTGAGGTCAGGAGTTGAAGACCAGCCTGGCAAACATGGTGAAACCCCATCTCTACTAAAAATACAAAAATTAGCCAGGCATGGTGGTATGCACCTACAATCCCAGCTACTCGGGAGGCTGAGAAAGGAGAATTGCTTGAACCTGGGAGGCAGAGGTTGTAGTGAGCTGAGACTGTGCCATTGCACTCCAGCCTGGGCAACAGAGCAAAATTCCGTCTCCAAAAAAAAATCACGCAGATCTCAGATATGATAATTATGTCTCAAATTATTGGTGTACAGCTAGGTGATATTTTATATTCTTTTCATTTAGTCATCAAATATGTGTTGTGCCCTGCCATACGCCAGGTGATGTTGGTATCTTAAAGTATAGCTATGTGAAAACATTTTTTTTTCTGCCTTACAGGATTTCACAGCTTTGGTGACACAGGCATGTAATCAGACAAATAAAATAAAGAGTAAAGTTTGAGATCATTCATTCATTCAAACAAAGAATATCAAATTGTATAAAATTCATACATTTTGGTAGGAAATTTATGTACAAGCAAACTACATCGCTAGTATTCCCCATAAGTGAGTTTCTAAGTGCCTGACAAAAAAGAGGCAGATACTCTCCTTCTCTGGCAGCCTCAGCTGAATTAGGGGTCAGAGCTCTTTCCATGACAACTTTTCTCTTCTTAATGTTCTTTTGATTTTCAGTATCTGCTTTGCTTCCTACCCAAATGAGAGCCATTGTCATAGAGCTGGTGGCTTGATGAGAAGGAAAACTGTGCTTCCTAAATAAATCAAGAAACAAGATAATAATAAATAATAAATTAGTTGCTAAGGAGTGGAATACACGAAAAATCAATGTTTGATAGTGATGATTTACTACATTTCACTATTTTGTAGAATGTTTTATTTATTTGATGACTGAATAACAGTAGCACAGATTTTCAGTTATTAGGAACATATATGGGCCTGGCATGGTGGCTCACACCTGTAATCCTAGCAATTTGGGAGACTGAGGGGGGTGGATCACTTGAGCCCAGGAGTTTGAGAGCAGCCTAAGTAACATGACGAAACCCCATCTCTACAAAAACTACAACAAATTAACCAAGTGTGGCGTTGCATACTTGTAGTCCCAGCTACTCAGGGGGCTGAGGAGGGAGGATCACCTGAGCCCAGGAGGTAAAGGCTGCAGTGAGCCGGGACCAAGCCACTGTACACCAGCCTGGGCAACAGGAGTCGCCTGTCTCAAAAAAAAGAGAACATACATGTTTCATAAACCATCTACTTCTTCCTAGCACTTATCACATTTGTAAAGTAGTACTACTTTTGAAATTCTGCTTTTGTTTATCTTGCCTACTATACTACAAGTTAGTGGAGGGGGAAAAAAAAAACAACTTCTTTGTCCTTCATCTCCACTTTATTTCCAGATCTTAACTGAGAGGAGGGGCACATGACCCACATTTAGTAGACGCTTGTCTAATGAATAAATGATCTTCACTGTATACAATGGCATGTCTCAATTTCCAAATGAGAAAGGAGTGTGATGTGACAGCTACCGTCTCTGCCACACCAAGATCCCCACATCACACATTTTCATGCATTTCTGTTCAGATTCCAACTCACAGCACTTATGACTAAACCTATGTAAGGATTCTCTCTGGCCATAGGTGTCTGCTGAACAAATAAGAAGGAATAAAGTGCTATGTGAAAAATGTTCCCTTCTGAGAACAGCCCTCAATAACTATATCACGAGGTTGGTGGGTAGATATCCAAGCTTCTTTGTCATCTAGCGGTCTAATTCTGATGACTGTTCTTCATATTAATTGGCAGAGTTTGCAGTAGGATTAAGTTCCAGCTGTCCACAGAGGAAACTTAGTGGGTCACACCTCCTTTATTGGCTTCTGCTTTTTTCTTTTCTCAGGTTCACTTCTTTTATGCTGTCATCTTTTGGAATTATATCACAAAGAAACTATGAGTATTGAAATCCTTGTCACAGTACTAATTCTGGAGAACTCAAATCAGATAAATTCTTAGAATTAACTAAAAGAAGAAAATACTTTTAAAGAAGGGGATGTGTTATCATAATCTTTTTCTTGCTTAAGTGTTTTTGTTTGTGATAAAGCTATCTTCTTAATGACATGAATAAAAATTTTAGTAGGACTGTGCAAGTTCTCACTATTTATACACTAATAATAGGAAACAAAAATTCATGTATTCTCAAAAAAAGTCTTCCAGATCCCTAGGCTTTAAAAGAAAACTTTGAGTATTGACTATTTATCTTACTAGTCTTTAAAAATTAAAAACCTAACTAGTTACTAGGTTATTCATTTTTCTTTCTCTCTTTTTTTTTCTTTTTCTTTCTTTTTTTTCTTTTCTTTTTGAGACAGAGTGTCTCTCTGTTGCCCAGGTTGGAATGCAGTGGCACAATCTTGGCTCACTGCAAGCTCTGCCTCCCGGGTTCACACCATTCTCCTGCCTCAGCCTCCCAAGTAGCAGGGACTACAGGCACCCACCACCACGCCCAGCTAATTTTTTGTATTTTTAATAGAGACAGGCTTTCACCATGTTTGCCAGGAAGGTCTCGATCTCCTGACCTCGAGTGCCCACCTTGGCCTCCCTAAGTGCTGGAATTACAGGTGTAAGCTACCATGCCCAGCCGGTTATTCGTTTTTCTGTTCACCACTCAGTTTATCCAGTGATCCATCTATCTAATAACCCATACATCCACTTGTCTTTCCAGTAATGATTTCTTGAGTAACTAATGTGGATTAATATGTATATTTTTTGACTAGTCCACAATGGCTTACTACTAGTCTAAAACTAGAAATGTGCTGATTATATAATAGAGAAGCTACACATACCAATTTTATTTCAGGCCACAAATAAATTATTTATACTTTCATTTAATGTAAATTAGCTCAAAAGTCACCTTATCTGTATTAGCACATTTCATTAGAGTATGTTCCTCTTTAAAACTATTATAGATTTTTAAAAGAATGCTGAAAAAACTATTTCCAAAAAGCATGATAAAGCTCAATGTTTAAATCCATCACAAGTCAGAAGTTTCTTATTCCTCTAGTAATTTAAAATAGGCCAGAGAAAACTGTTTAAAAATCAACCACTACCTTGTGATTACCTGAACTCTTTTCTAATAGATGTGACTAAATTCGCCCAGCCTTTGCTGGAAGGCAAGTGTCCTTTTGATGGAGTGCTACTTCATGAATCACATTCTTACTCCATTGGGTTCCGAGACATTTTCATGCTGTACATCAAATTTACTAGTATTACATGTATATAGTATTCATGTAACTCACAAACTTCATTGCTAAAAAATTGATGGGTTAGGATAAATATTGCCTGCAATAAATTTACAAACGCTATTATTACTGTGTGAAATATATGAACTACCTTCGATTTCAACCTTCTATTTGTCTCCATAGCATTCATTTGATCACATAGCAGATTATCTGTTTAAAATGGTTTCATTTGAATTTAAGAAAAAGGCAACACTCAGTGTACTTCATACTTACACAATGTGAAGTCTGTTGAGCACTGACAGTAGCACTGAGGGCACCTTCCGAATACATAGCACCAAGAGTATCAGACATTCTTTTTGCCTTTTGGTTTGAAATTAGGAAAGTTAATTTATTAAATGCTTTAAAATGTGATATCTGTGTACATGTGAATCACTACAGAGCAATAATAATGATTAATCTTCTTAGTCCTTAATTTTTTATAAAGATAACTAAAATGCAGAAAGCAGGTGTTAAAAAAAAGAATCAAAACAATATTGATCTTCCATTAAACCTTAAGGATAAGTTTTTGGTTTTTATCTTTGTTTTACTTTGTTTTTAATAGAAGACTGTTAATCCAAGCTCTCAGAAGAATTAAACACAAATGATCTGGAGTAGTTTAATTATGGAAACATGTTTCTGAAGTTAAATTAAGGGAAAAAGTTTCTTAGATGCAGAATATAGTAAACTGTCACCTACCCAAAAGATAGTTTTAAACTAGTCACCAGAAGATATTAATGATGATTTTGTAACAATTAACATTTACATTTTGAAAACGTTTTTTATGTACATGAAGTTGTTAAGAACTAAAATAAGGTTTGTCCACCAGAACTTTGCACTTTTTGTAACCTAGGGTAGGGTACAGATCTTCCAAAACATTATTTACCAAGTAACAAAACAGGCAAGTGCAGACACTTTTCATGTCCTGTCTAGATGGTCATTTTTCCTCAAACAAGAAATCAAATATAAGGGTGGAGGGAGGAAATAAACAAATGAAGCATCTGTTACTTACAAGTACATAGATCTGGACTTGTTTTAGAATGTGTGGAAGGAACTAGAAAAGAGACAGATAAGATCTGGGATTCCCAAATGTCAGCATTTGGTGTGAGTGAGATAGAATAAGAAGTTATTTCTTGAGAAATGGAAGAGAAAACTAAAAATGGGGGGAAAAAAAGGAAGAAAAAGGGAATTAAAAAAGTTCATCCAGGAAAAGAGAGAGAAAAAGAAGAGAAAATTTCATCAGGAAAATAAACACTAAGGCAAAAGGCAGCAGAGTAGTTGAGCATCCCTTCTGGGTGTTGTAACCTGAATTTTTTGCTTAATAATGATTGAAATAGTGCACACTACGTGGTGCTAAGGACTCTATCCACTGAAACTACCATGAAACCAATCTAGAAGGTTTGAAATAAAATATGGACAAACAAGTTTATCTCTCAAAATGGTTCTTCCACTGTGCTTTTTTTTTTTTTTTTTTACATGCATCAATATATTTAACAACTTTGTGAAAAATAATTATTCTGGATTTATAGATAGCAAAACTAAAACTCAGATGGATTAAATAATCTGCCCAAAGGAGCTTTATATTAATGACTTATGTCTAACTCTAAAGTTTTTTCAACTACACTATTTGCCCATCATCCAGTCTTTGGTTGGGAACACCAGTTATCAACCATTTACATCTTGTTGTTAAGGAAATATATATATACACACACACACATATATATTCAAAATTTTAAATATATATATTTTCAAAATTTAAAAATGTTACAGAATTAATATGTGTATCTTAACTAGACAAAATATTTCAGATGATATAATAATATGTCAGATCCTAAGGCCCTAGGTGGATTGTGTGGGGAAAAGAAAGAGAGATCAGCCTGTTACTGTGTCTATATAGAAAGAAGTAGACATAAGATACTCCATTTTGTTCTGTATTTGAGATGCTGTTAATCTGTGACCCTACCCCCAACCTTGTCCTTGCAAGAGACAAGTGCTGCGGTGACTCAAGGTTTAATGGATTTTGGGCCGTGCAGGATGTGTCTTTGTTAAACAAGTGCCTGAAGGCAGCTTGCTGGTTAAAAGTCATCACCATTCTCTTAATTTCAACTACCCAGGGGCACACACACGGCCAAAGGTCACAGGGACCTCTGCCTAGGAAAGCTAGGTATTATCCAAGGTTTCTCCCCATGTGATAGGCTGAAGTAATGCTAAAAGGTTTATGGAGATGTTTGCATATGCATCTCAAGGCACAGCATTTTCCTTTAAACTTACTCATGTCACAGAGGTTTTTGTTCATATGTCTTACTGCCGATTTCCTCCCTACGGATGATCCTATTGTCCTGCCACTCCCTTATCTTTAAGATGGTAAAGATAATTATCAATAAATACTAAGGGAACTCAGAGACCGGTGCCGGTGTGGGTCCTCTGTAAGCTGAGCGCCGGTCCCCTGGGCCCCCACTTTTCTTTCTCTATACTTTGTCTCTGTGTCTCATTTCTTTTCTCAAGTCTCTTGTTCCACCTAACGAGAAACACCCATAGGTGTGGAGGGGCAGGCCACCCCTTCAGATTGTCTGCTTCGAAAGGCAGATATTCATAGCATATAGCCACAAACAGATTTTCATATGCTAATCAGAAGCCTGCAAAAGCGTTTGTTGCTGACTGCAAGATTCAAGGAGAAAGGCTGTAGGATGATATAGGACTCATGGACTAGTGATCAGGCATCACTAGGGAAGCATAGCATGTCACATAGCATAAGAAGCATAAGAATGACTGCATCCTTCTGTGATCCAGAGAGGCAAGTAGAGAGGATTGGTGAGGCTGCTCATGGCTTCTGCATGGATAACTGAGATCCTTTTCTAATGACATTCTTAGGAGAGGGCTAGACCACCACCAGGAGTAAAATGCAGTACTCCTGTAGCACACTGCTCCTCAACCACACCATTTCAGAAAGTGTATTGAGCGACAATTGCTAGGTGAGATCTCACTATAGTCTCTCTCAAAAGTATAAAGCAAGAGTAGACTCTTACTCATGCAAAGGCTAATACTTCACTCTGGGTGAAAGGAAACAGAAAAATGGAACTCAGTAGATAACAATCACAGGAAGGAGAAGGCAGCTTGCCAAATCCTTGAGACAACAGCAATACTCCAAACCCAGAGACCAGGTTCTTAGGAATTATAAATGAAGCTTCATTGCAATGTAAAAAATGAATTTTGAAATATCAGAGTGCAGACTGATTTTCAGAAATATATTGAAGGCAACCTCAAAGCCTGTCTTTAGTGCTAAATTGCTTCATTCATTCCTATGTGCATATAAAATATGGAGTTTAGAAATAAGGAATTTGGTGGTCACATTTCTAACTTAAATTGAGTGGCACCTCTCCCAAGCCAATTATAATATTTTGAATGTCTATTAATTGAAGACAGAACTTTTTTTATAAAAGTGTTTCCTTAACATCACTACCAAAGTATGTTGGCATGGTGAATCCGTACACGTCTGCAGCAACTTGATTCCTGCCTCCTCAAAGGAAAGAGTTTGTCCAAAAGGCATAAGGCGAGTGAGAGACCAAGGCAAGCTTTAGAGCCAGAGTGGGCTGTCAGGCTGTCCCCAAGTTCAGTGGCCTCCAGCACTTGGGAGGGGCTTCATGTGCGTGTTTACTGAAGTTTTGCGCATGCTCATTTGAGGTGTTTTCCCCTTACCAATGAGTGTTCCTAGCAGAAGGGCATATACCTGTTAAGATCGCCATTTTGCCTTGTAACGTACATGCTTTAGCACTCTCGCCCAACTCCTGGTATCTTATCCTGAAATTGAAGTATTCTCATGAGGCAGTACCTATTAAAAGTTAGTGCAGAGATGTTTTTGACATTTTTTCCTGACAGAAGACCAAAGAATATCTAAGAATAGGAATAGGTAAAGTCTGAAAGCTTTGTCTGTGCTATGGAGAGGAAGGCTGGCGGCAATTATGTCATCAGAATATGCATAATCACTGAAAACAAACCTGCCAGAGAATTCTGAAGGCTGGATTTGTTGGTTTGGATTCACAATGGAAACCTCAACTTCTTCAAAGGTGCCTGTACAGTAGATGGGGTTTATTTCTCACACCAATTTTATCTTTTTTGTTTGTTTGTTTTGAGACGGAGTCTCGCTCTGTCACCCAGGCTGGAGTGCAGTGGCACGATCTCGGCCCACTGCAAGCTCTGCCTCCCAGGTTCACGCCATTCTCCTGCCTCAGCCTCCTGAGTAGCTGGGACTACAGGCGCCCGCCACCAGGCCCCACTAACTTTTTTTTTTTTTTTTTTTTTTTTAGTAGAGACAGGGTTTCACTGTGTTAGCCAGGATGGTCTCGATCTCCTGACCTTGTGATCAGCCTGCCTTGGCCTCCCAAAGTGCTGGGATTACAGGCGTGAGACACCGCGCCGGGACACCAATTTTATCTTTTAGTCCAAACTGAGTGACTTCCAGCTGCCATGGGTATTGATATGTAAGTCAATAAAAAAGCAAATATGACATGTACAGAAAGAAGTCTTAATCATCCCCAAGTTTTTCATATTTCAGAGAACGCTGGCAATGTTTTGTTTGTTCTTGAATTGGTTTTGAAATTTTACAAAGAATGAGTCACATGATTACTGAAACTAGGCCTCATAATTCCTAAGCCTCATAAAATTTAGAAAGCTTGGCCATCATGAAACTTAAACCCCAGATGGCCACGGATAGCCCCCCGATGTTCCCAGAACCCAAACAGAAAGACAATTCCGGGAAATAGCCTCATGGGGTCCCACCCTGATAGCCTCATGAGGTCCCACCCTGATAGCCTCATGAGGTCCCACCCTGATAACCTCATGGGGTCCCACCCTGACTCAATGTCCCCGATGTTCCCGGAATCAGCAATTCCAGGAAAGAACCTCCTAAGTCCGCCCCAACCAATCAGAACAAGATACCTTGCTCAGGCCATAGACAGACCCAATTACCACGCGCCTAAAGCTTTGTTTGAATTTCGCGCCCTAAGCTGTGTTTGAACTTGTGTTTGCCTATATAAACAACCTGTAACAAGCACTCGGGGTCCCAGGGCCAACTTAGAGCTTGGGACCCTAGCGCGCTAGTAATAAATAACTCTCTGCTGTGACTCTCGTGTCGGTGATCCTTCGCGGCGACCCCTGCCCAGGAGGAAATCGACAGTTCGGTTCCAACAATTACTCCTCTTTTCTTAGAATATATTGAGTTCACAGAACATAAATTAGGAACTCATAACTCACATCAGATCTTGAAGCATTAATGGTCCTGAAGGTCAGCAGGGGAGAAGAAAAGATGAATGGCTGGGCAATGAGTGTAGGAAGCAAATAATTTAGTGTTTACGCCATATCCTTAAGTTAGCCTAAGGACAAGGTGCAGGGTCTTCAAGATCCTTCCTCCACAACTGAAAAGGTAGAATATATGTGATTAAAAAGATGTGCTCCCAGGTTAAGCAATGTGAACATGACTGAAAATCGCTTCCTGACAACAAACATATTATGGATTATGATTTTATATTAAAATCTCATATTTTCTATTATGATTTTATGTTCTAAATAAATTTATAGTATTTAAACCAAAGAAAAAATCCCTATGCCAAAATAGTTGCATTCAGATACCAAAAAATCCCCAATGTTGTCAGGATTTCTTAAAATTCTATTCAGCAAATATTGATAAATAAATATAAAACGACGTTTACTTTGGCCCTTAATAAAGATATTCAAACATCTTTTAAGAGACTACTCATGTCTCTATGAGTGCAGGCAGATAAAGGGCTACGAAAGACGAAAACCACCTAATTCACCACGGCTCATTTACACAGAAAATAACAGAACTTGGAGATTCTGGGCATAGAGCAAATACCAATTAACAAAATCATGTAAGAGACAGGGAACAAACATTTTAGGGCAGAGATAATTTGGCTATGGTATTATTGGTTAGATTTGAGTGTATGCTCTTACAATGAGTATAATAATAATTTTTTTTAAATATTTGTTTTCCTTATTGTAAATGCATCAACATTCATTTAAATAGTTGGAAGCTGTCTAATGGTTCAGAAAAAAATATTTATTTAGCCAATTTTATGTTCAAATTATCATTCAGAATCAGGCTATAGCCCCACATTTTCCACAGAATAAATAACTATTTAACTATAGGAAAATCAGAAAAACCTAAATATGACTTTATTTTATTATATGGAAAAAAGGCTTATAATGATTATTTTACATGAAGAGTTGCATTGAGATAAACTGAAGTATTAGAAGATCCATGCTAAGAAAC